GCAAGGAAACAGTTGCCACCGAATGTACTTGCTGTTCAGGAAGTAGAGTCACTCATTTGCAAGTACGTAGAGTAAGATTGAAGTAGTCAACCAAATCATGGAATGCCTAATTAAGATCGCGAAATTTGTGTATAAAAAAGCGACTAGGATTGCAGTCGGCCACCTTTTCTCTTAGCTTAGTATATATTTGCTCTATTCCGTAAGGTATGGATACTTGATCTCTTGGTGTCTCTCACAATAAAGACGAAAGCTTAGCAGTTTCATTGAGTCGCAGGACAGTGAACTGAGGACTTCTTCACACAATTCGACAGTCTTCCCTACGCGACAATCCCCCTTTGTTTCCGATGAAACCACATCACAAATTCCTTCCTACCAACTTTCCCTTCGAAATGGAGAGTCATGTCAATTTTTCTTCATATTGTTTTGGCCTCATATTATACGTCTCAGTTTTGACCCCTTGGTTCATTAAATACTGCTTGAACTACACTTTTTTACGTAGATTGCTTTGGGTCATTCTTAATCTATCCTAATTTTAATCAATCGTTTATTTGTATTTACTCTTCCCTACAGCGACTCGTATCACTGAACATTCTGACACGTCTGGCACAGCTACGTATTTTTTCTTTACTCGCTGACTTCGACCTTCATGAGAGCATTGTTGGCCCTGATTCTTGTGATTCGTTCGACCCACTCGACCACTTATTTTATCCATATTCTACCAATTGTGTGCCCGATTCTGCATCTCCTCATATTTTTCCTTCTAGTTGCCATAGCTCGCAAATTAGAACCCTTAGCATCAGTTCACCTATTTCGCGGGACCTCGACCAGCTCGCCCGCCGATTGCACCATCTTTTTGTTATCACTCCTCTAGCCGAAGAGTGGGCAAGCCGCAAGTCGCATGGTAGTGAAAGCTTGGAGTCGGGTATCTCGATTACCGCCGGACTGGCCATACTTTCGGCCTCTGAGGCTGGCCGATTTTGTTCGTGGGCTGACAGATCATCTTCCGAGACTGATGTTAGGGCTCGGCTTCATCTAGCCGACTTGTTACAAAGCCTTTTTCGCTTGACAAAAATGCTCTTGATGACATTAGGTGAGATACACAGGAATTTTCTTCCAATTATCCACGCTGTCTTCCCCTTCGTGAATGCTATTATCTTATCCGATCACTTCAAAATACGAACTTTTAATTTTTTTTATGGTTTTAACTGCTTACTTTTGACTAACATTTAAACATGTTTATTGATGACTGCGTTTTTTTCTATCTAGCCTTTTGCTTTAGCTACAGGGCTTATTCTTTTAATTCTTTAATTTTGCTTTATTTAGGGGCAAATCACGTTGGTCTGATGCACCAACTCTCTGCTTTACTGCATTACCATGCCCAGTCTTGGTTCATTACTGACAGCTTTCCTGATCTCAGTTGGCTAGCCCCTGGGCCTCCTGGAGCTCCTATCGATACTATTCGGCTGGGTACACAACTTACTTGGACAAATCGTGAACTGTGTTTGGCTGGTCTCACTAGCCTGATGATGCGCGCATTACTTGCTGGTTCCTGGGCCTGCCCCACAGATGATGCTGAGCCAGTGATACAACTTTCGAGAAACCCGGATGGTGGCGTAGTCAAGTATGTTGGAGAATAATATAAGGGGATGTAAATTCCTCGGATTCTCCAAATATTTATATAGTTCTATGAGAGTTGTTTCCAAGAAATATGTTAATCATGTAAACCATTCAATATACCTTATTTGATATTTTGTTTGACTGGTATTCATATTCAAAGAACAAACTTCTTAAGATTCTGGACTCTCTTGATATAAAACCTCTAGAATCCATTCTTGATAGTATTAACCACGTTATCTACTTATTAGAGTATTAAAATTTTTAATGCTATATAAAGTTAAAAAGTGTTTTTTTGCCAGAAAACATTTTGGAGAAGCATAGAGTGTCTCATTTTAGGATAATTTGGTTTTTATATTCATACAAAGTAGATTTTAATACTATAGATAGATCTTTTAGCTAAAGTTCCATTTACCCTAAGTTAGATTAAGCGATAGACTTATAGTTGAATTTTCTTGCAATTTTAAGAATAGACCTCACGATATCATTGAATTTCACTTCGCCTTGGGGAAGTATATCCAATTAATTTTAATCGAATCATGAGACGAGATCGTAAAATTGTGAGAAAATTAAACTTTCAGTCCTTTGTCGCCTTATTCGACCCAGTGTCATTAGCACTCTTATTCATTTTAGCATTGGCTTTAGTTTGTGGCCTGGTGTAGTGAAAATAGTTCGAGTTTAGAAAGCGATTAAGTTTAGGACAGTAGTTAGGCCCAAAAAATGGCGCATTCGTCTGTTAATTATTTACTTGCCTATTTTGTGACCTTTTCTGCCTTATCGGAATATTTCCCATACGCCTGCAGCTCTGGATTATTAATGCTATTAATTCGAATAAATCGACTAACTAGTATATTCAGCTTTGTATTTTACCAGAATCCCACTTTTTTATTCAGGGTTGGCAGTCGAATGGAGATGGCTGTACTTTTTTCTCGGCTGATGCAACACTCTCTTCTTCTACTCGATCCCTTAATTTACGCTTTCCAGACATCCGGAGAGGCTACTCAGTCTGTAGATGATGCTATGTAATTTTCATGATCTAATTCATTCGTTTTTTGATTTGGATCTTTATTTACTCTTTTTCTTCTGATCTATCTATTTAATAGTGTAAATTTTGTTTCGAACGTTTATAAGGCGAGTCCTGACTAGCACCATATCCATAGCGATCTTAAA